CTAAACGGCGATTGATTCATGTATTATTCAAATACCATACAATATTATTATTTCTTAAGGTATATGAAAAAGTCTTCAAATCAATATTTCTTAACTGTTTTTGCTGCTATCTTTACCATTTAAGACATTGTGGACAGCACAGGGGGGCTTCATTTTAGAAATGGGGCAAAGGTAAGGGGATGATGGTTATAGTAACTAGTTCCTTGCTTCCTCTTCCACTTAACCTGACTATTTATTATGAGCAACAACTCCACATTTAATCTGTATTTTGTACAGAAGTGGTAGACCAAAGAATATCACACCAAGAACAAAGCAGGAGATTTCAAAGAACCTCAGGCTAACAACTAAGGAACTAAAATCCTTTACTGCATTTGTTAAAAGACAATGTGGATAAATCAGAAGTCTATTGGAAGAATGTTCTGTGGATGGAGGAACCAAATATATTATTTTTTCGTCTTGAAAGAAAAGCTCTATGTTTACCGAACGGCAAACACTGCATTCCAACATAAGAACCTTATCTGATCTGTGAAACATGGTAGTAGTGGTAGGATCAAGGTTTAGGTCTGCTTTGCTGCCCCTGGTCCAAGATGGCTTGTCATCATTGATGGTACCGTGTTTCCCAGAAGAAAAGACAATGTCTTATATTTTTTTTGGCTCAAAAAACACACTAGGTCTTATTTTCGGGGTAGGTCTTATTTTTTTTAATGTACAACAATCCACACTTATTCATGTAGAAAAATATGGTGATCAGGGAAATCGGGGGTGCCGTACCTTTCCAAGAGTAATATGGTAACCAATCGCTGGCCAGAATGAGCGGCTCTGCTCCCTCCGGTGCCGCCTAGATTCCTCTAGCGCTGGCTTCATTGGCACCACTGATTCTCTCCTGCTCTTCGAGTTCCCCCTATGCCACCACCGGCCCAGGGAATGATCACAACTAGGTCTTATTTTCGGGGTAGGTCTTCTATTTTAGCAATTCCCAAAAATAGTACTAGGTCTTATTTTCGGGCACACACACACATTACACTATTGTTTTATGTTAAAAAATCTGAGGGTTTAATGTCACTTTAATGAAAGAAAGAAGCTTTTACAAAAGCTTAACTATTTCATTCATTAATGCCTCAATACTGATGCATTAATTAATGACTGGTAACCGCTGAGAATCAGCAGTTACCAGCATTACAGAGGCTGATATAACTCGGCACGTACAGTGTACGTGGCCAGTCATATAGCCACTTTGTGACGGGACGTACACTGTACGTCTCCCGTCACGAAGGGGTTAAAAAATGCAAAAAAATAAGTTTTAAATACTTTTTTTCTTTTCTTTCCACTAACCTTATTGCTATCGCCCTATGTAGTAGCAGATAGGGTGTGACAGTTCCTCTTTATGGAGACATCAGGGATCTTTTAGACCCCTAATGTCACCTAGGGTCCCCAGCTTCTTCTCCTGGCTCTAAGAGTCGGAGAATGTAAGTACACATCACTTCCGGGTCGTGATCAGGGGAGATCAGTGGCTGGAAGCCTGCTGATGTCTCTCCGATCATTGCGAGAAAAACCCGCTGTGCTGGTCCCGGGCCCCGCATGGGGGAGAGGGGAGGTCGGGGAAGCCGGCCTCGGCTCTGGTAGGGGGGTGCTATATAGGCACCGGATTGCTTGTACCTGAACAGCCATTGCTGGCTGTTTAAAATGATACCAAGAACACGGCTGCAGTAGCGGCCTGGAAGTGGTTAAAGAACCACTGTATAATCCACATCTTATTGTTTATGAGATAATTCATATCAGATAATTTTGTGAACTCTCTTCTGGGGTCTTGGATTAATCACAGCCTCACAATTACATTTGGGATTAAAAAATGCAACAAACAGTGAAAACGAGTGCAAATGTTAAACATTCAATTTTAAATTACAGTTTTGAAAATTTACTTGAGCAATTACTCTTTTTTAGAACAAATTACCAAAACTCTGTCCCATTCAGCTATGAATTATTCATTGGCAAAGCAAGAAGAGTTCAAGAATATTTGGTGTTAATTTACCAGCTTTAAATACAGAGCGAGAACCTATTTTCTATTTATAGACAGGTATGAGCAACATGACCGAACTTTACAGTCTAAAAGGTTAAAGTGGAACTATGGGCAAAATAAAAAATACATATAATGCACTCTGTCACTAGCAATAACTCAGCAGTCTGTTTTTCTGAGTCCCCCGTAACAGTGTTATTACCTGTTCATCCTGCCAGTCCAGTTAAGCTGGGTATCCATGTTTTCAAATTTACTGCGGGGGTGCCACTGTTGGCACCCTTTTGCTCATCATCCCTCCCATCTGATCGAAGGAGACTGTTGGAAAATTCTTGGCCGAACAGAGCTAGCAGTCAATTAGCTGCTAGCTCAGTTTGGGTATTATGACAGTGGCCGCTGTCAGAATACAAAGCAATCAGTGCCATCATTGTAAGTGCTGATGGAGGAACCGGTTCTATTTTTTTTCAGCCCAAGCTGAAAAAAAGAACCGTGTATAGCTGGCTTAAGTCTATTATTTGTAAACTTCCTTTAACAGGCTAAGCTGTCTAGCAAAGTGGAACTTAGAATGTTGAGATAAACCATATAACACTGACAGAGGTGCTTACAGCTTTTATTTTATTTTTTAGTTAAAACTATTAACACCAAAAGAAAAAAAAGAATTTTGGACTCACCATAAAATATTTTTCTCTGCATTAATGAAAGGACACAAGGAAGATGTTGATCTCTGACTGTTGGGATGTCCCAAAGCAGTGCCTACTATGGAGTGGGGAAAAACAGGCTCCTCAGGCAGCAACAAGTACACTGCCACCTGCAGAGGTCCCCAACAAAACATGCAAGGGCCCGAGCCAAACGGAGGAATAGACTCTGGGGTTCCAAAGGCCTTCCCTAGGGAACTCGGAGAAGGCAGGGATGCCTGTGGAGCCTGAGAGACAATCAAGAGGTGAATAGTTTAGCCTGCCACCCAGCTCAGCTGTTGACCGAAGATCTTGAGGAGTGAAGAAAAATATAAAAAGATCATTGCCATGCAAAAAAAAAAAAAAAAGAAGGATTCCAAGCAGCAAGCTTAGATCTTTAACTCTGGATACTAAGCAAAAATCTGAGCTGGCCACCATCAGGCTGTGTGCTTTGTTTTTTATTTTTTTGCATAGCATCTGAAGGTGGCGATATATCCCAAAGATCAAGACCGTGGTGTCCAAGAACAGAAGAGAAAACCCTGTTCTGTAACTGCTTAAAGTGTGTTAGCTGGAGTTAGGCTTCAATTTGTTAGTCACCTATGTAAAGTCCATCTAAATCTACTAGTCCATCTACCACTGCCCTCTTCACAGGTTGGCATAGCTGCTGCCCAAGGGTGGCTACATTGCTTCTCCATAGATAAGAGTGGAGGGGTGTGTGCAGCCACTCAAAGACAGGATGTGTGTTACTGGCTGGACCACCAGGTTAAAATAAAGGGGAAAAAAAAAAGAAGAGGTTTTTTTTTAAGTTTTTGGGTATAGGTACACTTTAAGTCATGTACCATTTAGGATGGCTTTAGATGCTAGGCAAATGTGCCTGCTGAGTGTTTATAATTAAGCAGCAGCCTGTTTTGTATTTCTGTATCAGCTGTATAGATCATATTCAAATATAAACTTAACTATATCCCACCTCAAACTAACCATTCAACCATCTCATTCTCAAACAATTCATCTCCACACAGCTACCTCCTCCTGTACCACTTGCCCCTCCCTTTTAGATTGTAAGCCTTCACGGGCTGGGCCCTCCTTACCATCTTGTCTTGATTTGTATTGTGATTGTAATGTCTTCCTTATATTGTAAAGCGCTGCACAAACTGTTGGCGCTATATAAATCCTGTATAATAATAATAACTATATTTTATGAAGACTTGCAGCTAATGAACAGATGGGACCTTTTAAGGATCTTGATTGAGAAAAAAAAGGAGGGCATGTTTAGATCCTGCACGAAGACCAATGCTTTTTCAGGTTCAGAGACCTGTCCAATGCCCACATAGAAATATAAAAAATCAGCTTTATGAGCTCCTCAAATGTTCCTAGTTTTGGGGGACAGGTGATGAGGCAGTCTTAGGCTACATTTATGCTCACAACATCAACAGGTCTGTGGAGATCAGGGGCTGGGAGCGCCAGCTTTTAGTCATAGTATATGCATCTCTCAGGAAATATTTCCTTTAATTCAGTTGTGTTTGAGTTTACATAACATAAGTTTGAGACCTTCTGAAAATTGGGTCACTCGTACAGCACTGGGCATATTCTGGTCATGTTTTATAGAATGTAGTTGTACCAAAGAATACCAGAAGCTAGAGAAAATGTGTGTGCAACAGGATTTGAATGGCAGTGCAAATGCACCCAGTGTCAAACTGCATATCGCAAGAAATGATACATTTACGCTGCTGTTTAGGCTTAATGTGCTGTATTGGTCCCCAGCAATACTTAGGAACACTCTTTATTGTGTTTTCATTTCCCCCAAAATTTTGTGGATTGGTCCATGACTCCAGTGTGTCTATAGTATATCTGAGCTTAAATAAAGCCCTGCCCTAACATAGATAGAAATTCTAGTCCTTATTTAGGATTTCTCAATAAATGTTTAGAAAATGGACGTCAAAGAAACACAGCAGGAAATTCAGCTCACAGCAACACCCTGGTAGTTTACCAACATAGGAAGCATTCCCGGCAGGGACACAGACCATAATAAAAACTTGATAGAAAATCTAACTCATTCTCCTGAGTTTGTACATTTAAAAAAAAAAAAGCTACTGATGACTATGCACTGATATCGTCACATACAGCAAAATTTGATTTTGTGTTATACAATGCAATTAAAACAATGTAATTAATAGGATTATGGGTGCTTCTAAAGCTGTGGCTATTGCTCTGGGCACAGTAGTGGTGCTATACTGTTCATCAAGATGTTATCAACACACATATAGGGAATTCAGGAGACAAGAATCAGACGCACTGTGGTTTTATTGATGAAAACAATAAATGTTTCATTCCTTTATAAATGATTGTGTTAGTAGCTGAATGCTGACACATCTGTAGTTAATCCCATCTCCAGAGCTTGAACAGTTTAGGCTTGCTCACTATATCCATCCATACCACAGTGCAAGGCAATTCTTTAGAAAAATAAACCACTTTTGTGAAAACCGCTGCAGCGTTCCTTTCATCTTACAGAAATTCATGGCAGATCTGCAAACAAACGCATGAGAATTTGAATGGAAACGAGACAACAAACACAGAAACAAACTGAACATAATTAATGCTACTTTACAATAAAACCATATCATTTAGAAATCACGTTTGCCTGGATTTCTGAATTATGACATTCTATGAGGGTCAAACAGATCTGCGAATATTCAGGCACACATACAACATTTGCAAGTTATTGTTTTTAGTTATCAAGGCCAATCTTCAATTCTACAGATTCAATACAATTGAAATTCTTAAGTGACATTCAACATAAATTCCACTTCATTGTTTTTTTCTCATATTATTGTTCAATAAGAAAATTAGCTGTACAGATGTAAAATAAATACATTTAAATGTTATAATGACCTGCTCAAGCAACATAGTCACTGAGAAAGTAAAGCAACTTGCTTTACTTAGAAGTGCTATGACATAAGTAGAGCAAAGTGACTGAACACGCCTGTTTTACTCATTTATAATAATAGGCACTGTCATCGTTTAGCTTTGGCTAAAATTCTAAGTATAAACGAATCTTTACATTTACACTACAGCAACTATACTGTATAGACTCCAAATATTCACATGCCCAGAGCATGCATACAGTACATACTCCTGTGATTTGCACTCAATCATATGCCCAGAAGAGACCCAGTATTCTTTAACTTAAAACCCACAGCCATTGGTCACATATTTTTTTTAAACTACAGCTAATGTCAATAATCTAGGATTTCACCGTGTTCTTTTTGTCTACATGTACATGTCTTCAAAAATAATTAAGTAGGCAAAAAGAGCTGTATGAAAAATACAATGAGTGCTCCATGTATAAAGCAGCACCACGGTCATTACTGCTGCTTTAAAAAATATAAGAAGCACTGCAAATTTATAAAGCACAGTGGTGTGCTTTACACATGTGCATTGCATTTTGCTTGTTTTAGGACTCTATTCAAATGATTGCAAATAAATAAATGAATAATTAACTTGTAAACCAAACTTCTTAGATGCTAAACTGTTGTTACTATTCAAAGCTGAAAAAACACAATGCTATCTAAAATGCATCTTTAACGGGCTCTAGCTCTCGTATCCGTCTACCCCTTATAGACCAGAGCGTCTTTTATACTTCCACTGTGCACATGTTTATTTGGGGTTTTTTTTGGCAAAACTGTCTCACAAAAATTATTTTACTTTCTATGTGATCTTTAACAAATGTTAAAAAAGTGTTTTTTCTATTTCGATGTTTCTGTTAGAAAGCATGGCAAAGTTACAGTATATGCAATTGTTTTTTTTTTTTTAAATTGTGCACACTTTCTTCTAATGCAGCAATGAATAAAATGAATACAAATGGAAAAAAATATTAACAGTAAAAAAAATGTGAAAACAAAAATATTAGCAGAAAAATAATAGCCAAGAAGAAAAAGAAAAGTAATCAGTTAAACGGCTGGTTAGTGTTAAAGCAGTAGTAATCCACTGGGGGTGGGGGGGTTGCCATAATATGCAAGTATGCACAGCACACATGAACATTATGCACTGTTACCTTACAAGTGTGCCTTTCTCCAGCGCTGTGCTGTGAATCTTCTTGTCCCCTGCTGCTGTCAACTCCAATGCCACCTCTTCCAGGTTCCCAGGCATCCTCTTTGGCCATTGGGTGGCCACTGATGATGTAACTCCCACATATATACACACAGGATAGACCTCGACAGCATCAGGCCCATTCACTGCAGCTTAGAGAGTGTGCACTACACGGCAAATGCGCCATACAGTATACACAGAAGATTTAAAAAATCGCTAGGGGGAAGAGAAAGACGTATTTTTCCAGAAGAGACTTTGCATGTCTCTTCTGTCAAAAATCCCTACCTCCCAGACATTTTTTTTTCTTCTTCGGTTTTAACTAAGGGTTAATAATGGGTTTCTCTAATTGATGTCATATATAGATATAGGTCACACCTATATATGAACATATGAATAAGACAGCAAATACAATGAAACAATGCAGATACATTGTATTTACTGTGCAACTGGTTTAGTGGGGAAGGCTCAGAACTGCTGTCAGTTTTTTATATCAGTTTGTGTCACTGGGGGCACAGCATCTGGGGAGATTCAACTTCTGTATTCATTCTAGTAATCATCATCACTAAAACAGAGGAAACATTTTAAGCTGTCCCCAGAACAGAATTAGAGGGGAAGTATTCTAATAGGGAGATCTGTTATAGTGACAAGTGTCTAAGAAAGGATTGATCTGACTTAGAAAGATTTCCTCGTGTTTCCTATCATGTCTTTGGGACAGGATGTGAAGGGAAATCTCCCCAGTGGGGCAAAAAAACCACTGATGGAGTTACAACCATTTTCTCCTCTACACAAAATAAAATAAAAACTCTGGATAAATTATTTAGGGATAATGCAAATAAAGAGGTGTAATAATATTAACTATATGTTACTTTAATGTTACTTTATGAGTATATTTGTGTATATATATATATATATATATATATATATATATGTATATATATATATATATA